TATCAGTGTTCTGTGTCCTGTTGATACATGTAAGCTATTGTTAATTAAGGACGTCTAAAGGAAATATGTAGAGGAATGTGTGAAAACACTAGCAGGTGTTTAGGTTCAAGCAACTCAATGTGACCATGTAGAAACAGACAACTAGGCCAAAGGCTAGAACACAAAGAACAGACAGGAACGTGTTGGCTTTCTGCCTGAGAGTAGGTGACCTTCTAGTAGGTAACTACACAAACAGATTTATAGCAGGAGAGCAATCTATATAAACAGCATTACTGGGGCTGTTTAATCATTTATATTTACTGGGAACAGAAATGAACAGAAACTGCTGTGAGATACTAACAACACGGGCCCCAGACTGCGAGTGATCAGGTGCATTTTGTGACCAAATTTATTTAAGGTGCAAATGACTTTTTTTTTTAAAGGTCACATTGGTGTGACTGTATAATAAACAGGTCATGCTGTAGAAATGGCGGACAGACATAACAACCTCTGCAACATTATCGCAATGTTTAAATGCAGGTCTGTCACTCGCCTGTCTCCCGAAGCAGAGACTTCCAATCTATCAAATGTGTCGACCCACACTCACGCCGAGACACACGTGTCATCCCTGGACCGCTTTTTTATACTTTGAATCTGTTTTTTCCTTTGGCGCATTTGAGGCATAATCGCCACAGACAGCTGGTTAAATCAGGTAGGTCAGCTGTTAGCCTATCTTTTGGAAACTTTTTACTTGAGTCTCTTCTGATGGATCAGGCTCCCAGTGTCACTGAGCACTGGATAGTAAGGTTATTTAAAATAATTTATGAAAAATAGATTCTTTTGCGTTATATTGTACAAGAGGAGATGGTGCCACCAGTATGAAATGTTAGTCTGGAGCCCTGCATTATACAACAAAGACGAGCTCAGTCAAAGTTCATCAAGATTTCCCCGAACACTGTAGAGAAACCCTGTGAACTTTCCTCTCCTATATGTACAACACCACTCACCTTGAACCGAATGAACCTTTTCTTCCAGGAGTGGAGGCCAGAGAGGTAAACTTGACGTAGAGCCTCATGGCACAGGTGTAGGTCAATGCCATCAGGGGTGACAGTGAACTGAAAGGCCACAGCCTGGTGTGCTTCTGCCATGGTGGCTACTACAGTACAGGGTCACTGAAAAGAAAGTGCCTGATAATTAAAAGCAAAGCAAAGATAAAAGGTCAAGGTACCTTATTGTGCCTACAATATTCTCACTGCATGTTCATGTTCTTCATTTTCATCTAGGAAACATCAAAAAGTCACATTAACATGGGTACTGACTTGAAGAAAGATCAGATACAAACAAAGAACAATGTACGACCATCACATCCTGATGCAACATTATGGATGAGGCTGTAAATTATTGTTGAAAGGCAAAATATCAGATCAATCTCTCACACTGACCAGCTTGGGTCACAGTTCCTTGTAATCAATAGTCCTGGATTCCTCAACAACAGTGCAAGTTACTTAATTTCCAAGACTTAAAACTAGTTGAAGCTCTTGATAGGGAAATGGTCTTTGAGTGGTAAAGGATTCTTATTGGATTTGAAAACAACACTGGGGTGAAGTTAAATGGATCGGTACATGCTTAACCAGAAGCACAGTATAAGTATAGGTTTAGAGGCATATTTGCTACAGCGCTATATAAACGAAGAAACACTTGCGAGATGAGCAGCTGCAGTGAGTTACCACCATGAACATTCCCCCGTTTAGTAGCCTCTTTGTTACTGTAGCTAAAAAGTGGTCTCAAGATGGCATTTTATTGGTCTCTGTATCATCTTGGTTTGTTTGCAACTTAACCTGGTCTTGCCTCGGACTTAAGTTTTATTTTTAGTAAAGACCAGTCAAACATACAACTGTGGAACAATCATTTCTCAGAGTGCTATCGGCTATGTGTCCTTGGTAAATACTGCAAATTAAGGGGTGTTGTTGACAAGTCAACTTGATTTGCATTTTTGGTATTTGGTCATGCCTCTGCTCCTACTCCTTTATCAACTAAACTGGTTCCTACAAGCTGACACCAAAGGAGATGCACTGAGGAATGACTGTTACTTGTCTCTGAACCAGTCAGGTGGGTGTTGTAGCTTATCCCTTTTAAAGGCTGTAAACCATTATAAAGCCTCATCCGGTTCTTTCAAACCAGGAACTCAGAGGGACGACTCAGACCACTTGAGTATATAAAAAATATAACCGTGCTGGTTTATTCAAAAAGTCACAGGCAAGAATTAACACTTCAAGTCCAGAGATCTTCCAACCCCCAGCCTGCCCGAGCAGCCCGGAAACCAAAAAGACCCCGAACCACGCATTGCTATACAATATTAATCATTTCTGGGCTGTCGAACCGTGACGTCACCCGATAAGCAAGCCTTGCAGCTGCTATAACGTTTAGCCAAAACATGAGGAAAAGTCGAGGTGCGTGACTGTTGTTTTCGTGGTGTGTATCTAAAACAATTGGACATAACCTTACACATTAAGACAAATATTAAGACTAGCATTACAGTTGACACTAACAGCAGTTTTCCTGTAACCTTGACGTGCCTGCAGTCTGCACCGCAGGCTGAATAGTTACCAGCCTAAGCTAGTCACCCTGTCTGCACTAAACATTCCTAGACAACAAATCTCTGAATATCTATCTAACTAAAAAATAACCTAACACTTTCAACAAGAAAATGTTTTTTATTTTATATTTTTAAACCTTAAATGAACATGTAGTAGCAAGACACAGTTTGTGGTATTAATTGTTTTTCATTTGAGGCTGATGAGAAGAAGAGATTGTGGAGACAGAAATACAACATCTTTGCAATAAAGGGGGCTCTGAGAAACAACCTCGATTAAACAGGATTTTGCCTAGTGGGTCTTGCCAATGCTTACTGGAACCAGTGTCAAGTCTGCAGAGTTCTTGTCTGTCCTATATTTTGTAATTAGGTAATTCACAAAGCCACTAAATATTAAGATATTATTGATATATTTGTATTACTTGCTCATGCAACTGGGGCTCAGTGTTTAGAATTGCAAAGATCTTAGCTATATATGTAATAAGTTTCAGATTTCATTATTTCATATGCACAAGTAACTTATTTCAATCCATTAAATATGCCGTACCACTTCAGGTGAGATACATTATTGGGCTTTCACCAGTCTGCTTTTCTCTCGAACAGAAACGTTTCTCCTGCAAAGCTCCATTTGGTTTTGCCAATCAGTGTTTTTTCCTTTTCTTTTCAGATTCCATTTTTAGTTCATTCAAAAAAAGCACTCTGAAAACAGAACACGTCTTGTCTGCGTTTGGTTTCCTCGGAAAGAGCAGCATCCACAGAGCAGTGTTTTCAGCAGCCAGTCCCTTCCCCCAGCTACTTTCCAACATCACATGATCCACCCTGTGCTGCAGAAACTAGGGGAAAGGTCGTAGCGCTGCTCCGCTTAGATACCGGGTTAAACTGGCGACGTAGCATTTCTAATTCATCGTACGCCGGAAAGAACATACTTATGCTGTTACTGTAACGCCACCCAACACATATTTTCCGTTTTGGATATTGTATAATTGGCATTAGCCCATTTTACAGACTGCTAAGGAAATCCTTGTCTAATGTAAATGAACCATGTCCCCAACTACACCCAGTATTTCATGCACTAACGTTGAGCACCTGCACGATGGTTCAAACACCACATCATCCACCTCATGAAACCTTTTCCTGTTACCATTACTGACTAACATCAGACAGGACGTCGCAAAAGACACATTCAGCATATGTAGGTTATATTTTTCTGGTATTATAGCAAATGTCCTGCCCACGTGGTCTGGGTGCAACTGAGTCACCGGGGTGCAGCCCCAATAAACTATATTTATTTCTCTAAATGAGTAGTGTTTTCAGCCCCGTGTAAATAAACAAAGCGTGTTATCTCTGCTTTTATTGTGTTTATACAAAAAGGACACTGATAAACCAGCCTCACCTGACCTTCGCTGGCAGCTGACATTCACACACATTCAAAATTTATCTTTTGCAACTATCACACATCGTAGACTACTGTACAGTCATACTCATAACACTATTACCCAATTGTATTATTACTGAATACTGTAGCCGCATTATGTTTTGTAATAGAGCCAGATGGTTGTCAATGAATGACCTTTACTTGGACTTTTGCCTGCATTCATGTTATGAACACCAAGGAGGGTCTGATAACCAGGTCCCCACAGAAGAGCTGAATAAAAGAAGCCACAAACAGGTGATATATTTAATGCAAATATTCTTCGACGTAGTCTATATTTTCACAACCTGTTTTTTTGTTTGTTTGCTCGTTTTAACCAAGATTACGATTGTGAGTGCAAAACAATGAGATACAGTTTTGCTTTTCATAAGGTAATATTTGCCAAAGAAGCTCACAAGCTGTCCAGTTTTGTCACTACGAGGGTAAGACATTTTTCTGTACGTCACGAAGCGTCACACAGCCCTACGCACTGCGCTAACACAAGGAAATGCATCGCACTGACATTAAGGTTAATTGCGAAGAGAGAAAGACCATTTCAAAAGGTTTTTGGCTAGCTTTTGAGTTTTCTTTTCTTCAAAACCCCTGCAGCCATATTTGCACAGCTACTTCGAAAACTGCAGAAGGTGAGTCAGGACCAGGGCGCCACAGGAAGTGGAACGAACACAACATTACTCACCAGACCTTCCTATTAGCGTGAGTGGAGCTTTCTGGTCCGACGACGATGTGGCACGACTCCGGTCTCGACGACAGTGCTACACACACTGCATGAATGGAATTGCAGACTTGTATACACCGCCACACCGCCCGCCCCCTTGTGCTACGTCAGAACAAGTCATGGTTGAAACAGCGCCCCCTTGAGGTCGCTCGGGATATAGGAACACATCAACAGTACGGTGACGATTGTTATCTTTTTTTTCCAGTGTCCAGTGAGTTACTCAGGACTGCCAAAAAGGCCTAATCAATCACTCAGTCCAAATTTATTTAGCACTTTAAAAACGTCTTGTTGACCAAACTACCTTGCATAATTACAATAAAAATAAATAAAGCGATCTTTATAAAAATTTAAAGCAAAAACAACAGTAATAACTGAAAACACCGGAGACTGTTATCAGTATCAGCTACTGGCTATTCATCCATCTACAGATGTTCTGCACAGCAGAAATGATTGTGATTTTGATGTCACAGCAGGAAAAGCACAGGGGTTATTAATAACATCAGTATAAGCTGTTTTCATCTTAGGTGGAATGGACAAATGACAAAACTTTGGAAAGGATTGATTTGATTTAGTTATTTGCACTTTTTCTTTCCCTTCCTCTGCTTTTCCAAAATTCTGGGCCTGTGCACAGGTGACAAATCAGATAAAAAGCAACACCAGACTATATGTACATCGAGACAGTGGAGGGCACTGTTGCACATCATGAACTGTCTCTCAGGAACAAACAGGCCATGTTCCAGTGACAGGTTTTGAATTTGTATTAAATTTCACTGCTGTGGTCCTTCCTGTTTTATAAAACACACAGAATTTTGTTCAACACATACATCATTTTTGTGTTACACCCTAAAACAACTGCATAAGTGACCACTACATATTTAGGAAAATACATCAACTGTTGGTGTTTACACACCATAATCAGCTGACACTGTTTAACACATTATCAACAGTTGTGATGTTGCCCACGTGTCATGATTGTACTTGTCTCTCTTTGTCACTCTAACCTGGGGGCTCAGAGATAAATATGTGGGATCCAAATAATGATCAATGGGATGAATAGGAAGAACATACTGTAATGTCTTACTGGAGAGGAAGGGTTGGGAGACCGAAGCTTGTCTTTTTCTCTTTTATTGTCTCACACACACACACACACACACACACACACACACACACACACACACACACACACACAGCAACAACTGAACAAGTCCCACCAAGTCTGAACTATGTACAGCCCGCCCAGAGTGGCATTATGGGGGACCCCGCCAGGTGCTTCTCCCCTTGGACATTATGGGGGACCCCACTAAATGTGCCTCTGCCCTCAGTGCTATTTTATACAACTTATCAACTTTTCTGAGTTTTGGTCCGTGTTAAATCACATGGAGGGCCAGGCCCTACTGTTTAGTAGTAATTCTTTAACTTAACATGGACCAAAAGTGGCAGCCCATACCATCAGTGGCAGCTACGTGTTCTGTGGGCCACTCCATAAATAGTTAAATTAAACAATGTGAAAAGAAAAAATAACAATATGAATGATTCCCACATTAAGGTAATAAACTGTGGTGTGGGTCCTAACTGAACCTTCAGGTCTGCACCCCACCCTCTGTGACT